GTATAAGAGACAGGTATATAACTTTTCCTCTGCAAGTATATATGTATAATATCAAAATGTCATAAATCACATCCAAAGATTTTTTTTTCTTTTAACTTTCAGATGCATCTTTCAGTAATGAATTGAGCGACGGAGCATCCAGTCTGGGAACAACTTATGGTAATGTACTTTGATGTCAAATTAACATGGACCTATAGTAAATATTATAGCTTCATGATAGTTTGTAAAAATTGTATCAGTGAATCGCGAACCCTTTCGAAGGTTGATGATGAAGAATGGTTTATATCAGTTAATATACGCACATAAGATACTCTAACCTCTTCTTTTACAGTATCACTGGTGTTAATACAGTTTACCCGAATTGTTTAACGGGCTAAGTAGTTTTTGGAGATTTTTCAGATTTCATCGACAAGAATTAATTCTAAAAGGGCATCCAGACTCTACCAAACCATTAGATGTAATCTTCTAAGAATGCTGAGCTACGTTCAACCTGTACTACAGCAAATGTATCTGGACGAGATGGCGAATGCATATAATCTGGATAACAAATATGCGATTTGAAAAATATATCTAAGAATAAAAGTATTGACTTCGGAAATTGTTCACGGTAAGGTACTATTAAAGAAAATGATAATTGATTAACACCTTTAAAAATATATTATAATTTCATTAATGAAATGTACTAATTGGAAAAAATGTGCATTGTGCCGTACAATTTTGTCTTCCAAAATTTACACGTCCTTTTTCCCAAATTTTTATTACGAGTTCATTTCCTGAGATTTCATCTCAATCTGAATTTAGCAATATTTTCATAAATTTCATATTATTATGATTAGGCACATTATCTGAATGGTGTTAATACTATGTGTGTGGTTTGAAACTACGACGTAATAATGTGATTTATCGTGTATACGATAACAAAATATTTTAACAAATCAAATCAGATGACGTCATAATCATGGAAAAACGATAAAAATCGTTGCTACTACAACGATTTTAATGTTTTTTCCATGATTATGACGTCATCTGATTTGATTTGTGATAATATGTTTTTATCGCATAACTGATAAATCGTTATCGAATCGTTCTAGTGTAAAAACCTCTCTTATTTCTTTTATTTTCTATATGAACAATTGCTTTATAGCTTTTTTATCGTTATCGTTGAAGTATAAACAGGCCTTTAATTTGGAATTCATTCACCAAACACATTAACAATGTTCTTCTTTTGCTATATTAAGAGACTAGTACTACAGTATACACAGCACCATGTACTGCACCTCGTATAAATAGGCCTAATACTAATAATAATAATACTAATACTACTACTACTAATAATAATATTAATACATTGTTATATTAAAACATATATATATATTTAAAATATATTTGTGTTTTAATTTATCACTTAAGCTATCATTTGTCACTACTGAATAAGCGAAAACATTTAATGGCTTAGAAAATAAGAAAAAATATAAATCATATTATTTGACCTAAAAACAGGGTTTTTATAAACATGTTTTTCCTTTAATTTCTTTAGAAAATATTCTATCTCAACATAAATACTAAAACAGTTTTTTTTTTCATGATTTGTACCAAATTTTACCAAAACCAGCCTTTTTAAATTAAACTTTAGTATATCTTTATGGATAGAGTATATATTATTATTATAGAGTATAATTTTAATTATTTAATGTCAATTTAGCTATCATTTTATAGTATTTAATGAATTAAAATATTTGATGGCCTTGAAAATATGAACATCATAAAAAATCATGTTTTTGCCGTAAAAATGTGCCTTTTGGTAATTAATTAATTTTGGAAAAAAAATGTTTCATAATCAAAAAAGATAGGCCTAATAAATAATATAAAACATGCATCACAAACAATTTCACACTAAATTCCACTCTTTTGCACAAATACTAACAGAGTTTCGGATTATTTCCTGATTTTTGAAAAAGTTTACCAAAACCTATGTTTTAAAGTAAAATTAAAGATATTTTTATGGATAAAGTATACAAATTCAAAATATATCTATTTGTCTGTGATTTATTAATGTCACATAAACTCATTTGCCAGTATTGAGTGAATCCAAACATTTGATGGCCTTGAAAATAAGAAAATTATTAAAATTTTTCATGTTTTCTGCCCTAAAAATGGGGTTTTCTGGTAATAAATATTTGCTACGCGATTGACTTATAAAGCAATTAGTAGAGCATGCATCGTACACTAAATGGAAAATTATTATACTTATGTTGAGATTTAATGCATTCAAAAATTTCCTTCGAGCCTTGCAGGCCCTCAGGAAATTTTTTCAAGCATTACATCTAGCCTTCGTATAATAATTTTCCTATAGTGTACTATGAGGAGCTCTACTAATTGCTTAATATAATAGCGTTTTCAATCTTAAACAATTGAACCGTGGTATCAACATTGATATGATATGGCCATGGAGATATAGGCCTAGTATTTTTATTTATTATTATTTATTTCACTTTATTTATTAAAAAACACATGCCAGTATTACAAATGGTGGCCCAATGGGCCAAATTGCTTGTGATATAACAAAAGGCAATAGTACTTGTATAATATACACTTGTACTTGTAATATAACAAAAGGCAATAGTACTTGTATAATATACAATTGTACTTGTAATATAACAAAAGGCAATAGTACTTGTATAATATACAGTAATTATGGCACGAACTTTCTTTCTTGCACGAACAACTGAGCATAATGATATGTGCGTTATTTTATTATTGTAGAGTGACTGTGGAGTTAATTCGATGGACACTTCGGTGTGACTCATACACAAGGAAATTTCAAATACTTTATTTCAATGAAGTCCTCCTGGCGTTAAACTGGGAAACAATCCGATATTCTTTACCAAATGGTAGGCCTACATTGCGTCCTGTATTAAACGTGCACATAGATAACAGCTTAAACGACTAATTTAATGCGCGTCTGAAACTTGCTTGCCATATTCGATTGAAACAAATGAACACCAGTGGATAGAACTGATGATCAGAGGACAAAGTTTATGTTTAAATAATCCATGGTCCAGTGGCTACACCGTGTGACCATGGTGTGACTGCGGTGAGACCATAGCTCTATTTTCTCTATAGTAAGACCAGTACATAATGACGTCACGCGATGTTAGGACGTTGAGTTACCGACTGTCTCCCGAAAGGACACAATTGCATAAAATCGACGTTGTACAGTACATGCAGAGAACGCAGGCTAATTAAAGTCGTCCTTATCGTAAACAACGATATCGTGCAATGTCTTTTAATTGTGGATCAATTGAGTTAAAACTATAAAATTGATATCTGGATGTTCTAATAGTTTTTTTTTTATGATTGTTATGCTATGATGGCTTTAAGCCTTGTTTTAAATATACTTTTTATATTTCGGACATAAATACGACAGTCAGTTATAAATATAAAAATGAGTAACTGCCTGGTGATATGCATAAGAAGATTGTATAACTAATCTGTAGTTAAGTCGCGTTTTTTGTCTTTGTTTCTTGTGGCTTCAAAAGCGCCTTGAGACGGTTTTCTGTGGAAGGCGCTATATAAGTATATGACCATTGACCATCAAGTTCATGTATTTCAATGATTTTGATATTTTTATGTGTTGTAACATGTATGATATATTTTTTTTTTTGGTAAAACATCCTGTTTCTATAAATACATTTATAAAGATACGAAAGGCTCTAAAACAATGTTCTATAGATATTTTGTTTGGTGATTATAAAATAATAAAAAGAAATGTTTTAAAAAATAAATTTGGCCTAAATTTATAGGAAATATTATACATTACAATGCTTCGCATTTTCGCTGGCATAATGCCTAGACAGATTGTTCATTCATATTGAAATTAGTTTGAAGGTGAATTTTTTCATCCAATGGGAATATATTTTATATGAAAAGAATCTATAAATATTCAGCTCTCATTTTACCGGGGGAACAACAAGATATTTATCTGGTAAACAGCCGGTAAATAAGGTAAAAATGCAGCCTCTACGCGGTGTGCGGTCAGCATAGCACCAATCAAAAAGTGAAAAATGACGGTGACTTTTTTCAAGTAATACAATTGAAACAAATACTAAAGCAATCAGAAAAGAATTGCCTTTCAAATACCGAAGGGAACACAAAAATCCGAGAAGTATTCGCTGAGATACGACTGTGGAAATACGAAAAATGACCCAAAAACAGCTTATGTCGGTGCGAAATATTACAGCATGAAACACTAATTTGCTAGGCTATTCTGGCTCTTAAACGAAAATGTTGCAAGAAGAATCCCATTTTTATCATTCAATTCATACTTTAATAACATATAATTTATATTAATACCTTAAATAATAGTATTTATTTTATTCATGATATTTATTAACAATTCTAGCTTTTTTTTTATATTAAATACTCTCATAAAGATAGTATAGTTTTAATAACTACTTTTAGTAGTAATATTCATTTTACGCATATTTTTTTTAACAATACTTGTTGGTTTTTC